AAATTATTGAAAAGAGCCTTGATTAGCTCGCCGCTCCGAGCCTTGTGGACTGGACAGCAAATCATTTTCGGGAAATGTCGTTTTCGAGAAGTCATTGAAAAGAGCCCTGATTGGCTCCTTGCTCTCTGCCAAATGAAAGCTAACGTTCCCTCTTTGGTGACTTCGCCGCTCTTCTGATTACGCGGAGGTGAGCTGATCCGAAGAGAACGGTAAGAGGATTGAACATTCCTGCGTGACACGGAGGGATCAATTCCGACCGAGATTACTGTGAAATTTTCGCAAAGGAAAAGATTTTAAAATGACCTGTGGTTAAGGACCAAGAGTGACCTTGCTGAAAGGGACAACCCTGTTAGTCGCTGAGGACCTCGGAAGCGGGCGCGGCGAAGTGACAGGCGCCGTAGTCCATGGCTTCAGCGAACGGTAGGTAGCTCCTCCCTGGGTTTCCTCACAATGTGTCGATTTCTCTAACTGATCGACACGCGGAGCAATTCTCTGTAAGCCACTTACCGTTCGATTGCGTGTGGACGTCATCCAACGTGGCCATTCTGCTCTTCTACTAGTTCCTCAGATGGGGCTCTTCGACGATCCTAGGACAGGATCTTTCTCGTGCCGTCGCCGCGACACGCGTCCATTGTCGCTGCATAAGTAATTAACCGGAAGGGGGAAGGGAAGGCGATACGCGTATAAGGGAGGGCGGGGCGGCTCCATCGTAAGCTCGGGTATGAAGCGCCCGATCGCAGTGAGGTCGTAGGGAAGTTCTTGAAAACGGACAATGCGATGGAAGCGGGGGAATCTCTGGCCGTTGCGGGGAAGGGAAGCGAGGTAGTCTGGGTAAAGGGATACGAGGGTTCAGAGGACGTCTGTGCGAAACCGATCATGGTTCTCGCACGCCGGGAAGGTCCCCGTAACGATGCAGTAAACCTCTATATGGTTACGGCCTCGCCACGCGGTGCTAAGGGGCAGGACGTGGAGGGAGTAGTCGGGGACAGCACACCGAACGGAAGGGTGGGGGTGGACAGTCAGTTATAGGCGGGCGGAGTAGAAATGTCGGAAGATGGCGGTGGGGAAGGGATTACGAGGGTAGACGGCGCGATGGAAAAACTGATTGAAGGAGAAATAGCTAAGGGGATGGTGGTATATGGATCGGGGACGAAGGGCTAAGCCCCTCATTGACACGTTGACGAATTGGGGGACGGGCGGAGGCGGAGGGGGACATGGATCGGGATCGGGATCGGCGCCTTGTCGTCGTGGCAGCAAGGTCTCTATGTTCCAGCTTGGGCGGCTCGGGATCCTTGAAAGGATCGTTCGGTGCGGGATCGATCGCCAGCCGCTTCCCTTCTGCGATCTTTTTCTTGCGCTGCGCAGCAGCCTCTGGGTTCTCTTCTCGTCGATCCGGTCCTGACACTCGCTCGAGCTCGTCGTGCGTTGGCTCCTCGTCGCCCTCGCTTTCCACTTCTTCGTCGTCTTCGTCCTCCTCCTCACTTTGCTTGCCCTCTGTGTACTCGCTATAGGCCTCTTCCTCTTCCTCCGAAGTCTCCTCCTTTGCTTCTTCTTCTTCTTCTCCAGCTTCCACCGACTCTTCTTCTGCTTCGCGCTCTTCTTCTTTGTCCTCGGCCAATCGGGCTGCTGCTTCCCCGGCCTCTCTCCTCAATTCTCCTTCTGATTCCTCTTCGGCCTCCTCTTCTGCTCTCAGCGCCGCCCACTCGAACGCCGTTGGTTGCCGAAAGAAGCGGGGATTAGTCAGGCTGTGGACGTCCAGGTACTCGCTATGGGAGGGAAAACGGTCGTCCGCCCAGCGCTCCTCGATACAAGCCGACCATAAGAGGCTCAGGGCGAGAGTCCTTGAGAGGGTATGTGGCACGGGTTCTTCGTCGCTCTGAGAGACGATGTCGAGAGGGAGTTCGTCGGCCAATCGCGCGATCACGATCGTAAGTTCGCGCACGATCTGTGATCGGTTTCCCCGATCCACTGCTCCAAAGACGAATCCTAGAAGATCTCCCGCCACGTTGGTCCTCCATGCCTGAATGACGAGCAACTCCACAATCTCTGATGCGGGCCTCTGATCACCTTCCCACGTCCAATTCAGATCCACTCGTAGTGGGCAAAACGAGAGCTCCACAAATTTTGCACGCCACAGCCTCCAACGGTCCGGATCAACGAGGGGTACTGTCAGTGGCTCCAGACGGAAGGAGAGACGAGGGTAGTGAGAGGACTGCCAGAAGATGGGGAAGAGAGAGGGAGGAGAGAACGTCGAGATCGGCGCGCGGCTCATCTGCGCGGCCTGGAAGGGAGCAAGTTCTGGGAGGACGACAGGTGGCTTGCATAGCATCGTGCACAGCGTGTTGACTTCGATGTCATCGACAGGATAGCACTCGTCACCGTGCCTTGTGAACCGTCGATCCCAATCAGTGGCCAGATCTCGACCCCACCGGTACAAGGTACTTTTGATGGTGGCTTGCCGCGCCGGATCGAAGGCGGTGATGTCGCAGCTAAAGACTACCACGGTAGACACCTGGCTGATTCCCGGGGCCGCTCGTCGTTGGAACGCCGTTGCCTCGGCCAGCACCACTACCTGGGGATTGCTCGTGAATCGGAACTCTGCCGCGCCGTATGCACCCCCAGTGCAAAAGAACTGCGCAAGGCGCATGAAGTCGGGGCTGATCCGCGGATGATGCACTTGGCGGATGGCTGCGATCTCTCCCCGTGGCATCAGCAACTGATCACTGAAAGCTCGCTCGATGGCGAAACTCATGGCGATAGCGGGGGTGACGGGGTGGCAGAGAGGGAGCAAGAAAGGGAGGGAGATGGCGGAGAGTCCGAGCCGTCGTCGTCGGCTTCCTCAGAAAGAGAAATCGAGGGAGAGGGAGACGGAGCAGAGGGAAGGAGGCGAAGATAGGACACGTGGCATGTGATCGGACGAGCCGATCGACTGCCAGAGACTTCAGGGGCGAGACGCACGGTGTCCACGCCGTTGGGGCCGAGCTGGATCATGCGATATCGTCCGAAGAATCGTGGCGCTAGCTTACCTTGGCGAGCACATTTCCTCACCTGCACCATATCCCCCAATTCGTACTGGGGCCGCGGACCCGCATTCCCATTTCGGGCCTCGTAGCTCCGGACCTGTCGGCCCTGGGCTAGTTCGGTCATTTTCTGTCGCTTTCGGGCTAGCCTGGGCAGCGACCGTTCCATTAACTCTAGGTGTCGTTTGGCCTTGTCCTGAGCCGTAGCCCTGGTGGGCCGTCGGTTCAACGTAGACTCATCTGGGAGGCTTGGTAAAGGGGCTCAACCCCGTCGATTCGTGGGGCATTCCGCGATGGACCGCCAGGATGTGATCGACGATATCGGGCCAAGGTCTCGGATCCCGTGCCGCGATGTTTCGTCGCAACAATGTTTTTATCACCCGGTTAGCGTTTTCGACCAGCCCATTGGATTGTGACATGTGGGGTGCAGTGTTCCGTATGGCGACGCCATGTAGGACCAGATTCCTTAACACTTCTCCCTAGAATTCAGCCCCGTTGTCGGTCAGAATTTCTTCCGTATCCTGATGCATCCCGAGGAACGGTTGACATATCGTGCGATTTCCGTGGCTTGTCGCGTGCGACAAGGATACGCTTCGATCCATTTTGAGAAGTGGTCGACAAATACCAATAGGACTGAATATTCGCAACTATTAGGGCCAAGGGGCACCACTATATCGGTAGTGTCCATGCTTACTCTCTGAAATGGTCGTTCAACAACCGTGGGCACTATCGACCTTGGCGGCTGAATCGGCGCTTATCAGCGGCGCAGACTTGACAGGTGGCGACGATGTACTTCACATCGTCGCGGATATTGGACAAGTACCACTCATTTTTGTCGATAGTGGACTCCGTAATTCGTACAGCAAAATGAGCCGTTTCCTCATGCGCTGTCTTAACCCAGTCATACCGCATGAACGGATGCGGCACCACCATCCAAACCCCACTGCCGTCCGTTTTCCGTTTTTCTAATCTATCCTCTATCCATCGATAATCCCGAACCCTTTCATTGGCCCTCCTCCGATCTTCCTTGGTGAAATCCTGGAGGGGGTTACCTACTAGGGTGGCAATTAAGACAATATTCGTCCATACTTCGGCCCTTCTAAACTTTCGGGTCTTTTCCAACCCTTCTGACGTGACATCCAAAAAGCGAGCCTCGGTCGGAATTTTGTCTGTCCGGCACAAGGGGCACAACCATGTTTTACTATCATTCCTGTATTGGATGCACGAGCCATGGGCCCGTGCAACACACTGTCGGCAATCTATCCAATCCGCATATCCCATCCCGTTAGGACACATGGAGACCGAATAGACGCGGGAGATGGCTTCGCAAAAATAGCAAAATTTGTCAGGCAGGGAGAGGAGAGACAAGGAGGAAGGGGGAGAAAGAGGGGTAGTGGGGTTACCTCCATCACCCATCGCCACCGTTTTGTTTCTTGCCACGTGGGAGAACTACCACTTGTCCGTACTTCGGCTCGTTAGTCAGGTCCGGCTCTTTCCACGGTGTAATTTCCTCGCCCTTTGGTATCTTGGCAGGTCGATGTAGATGTGTCTGCCCGTCCGCATTGCCGTGTCACTCTGTCTTTCGATAGACGATATTGAAGTCGTATTCTTGTAGTCGCACCGCCCAACGACCAATCATGCCCATGTAGTTGGTGAGTTTCTTTAGCGCCAGCAGAGGCTCGTGATCCGTTACGAGGCGAAACTTCTGTCCGTAGAGATACGGATGGAAGTGTTGGATTCCCCAAACTACCGCATAACACTCACCCTGAGGTGCGGAGTCGTTTCTTCGTTCGTCCAATACGGTTCGTGATGCGTATTCGATGACGTGTTCGCGACCATCGTTTCCCTTATGCACTAGAATAGCGGAAATAGCTTTCGGCTGCCAGTCCGTGATGAGAATGAACTGCTTCGAGGGGTCCGGTCGAATCAAAATAGGGGCCGTTGCCAGAGCGTCCTTGAGGGTTGCAAAGGCCTGTTGGCACTCCGCGTCCCAGCTGAGAGGCTGGTCCTTCCGTAATAGGTTCGTTAGTGGTCGTGCAATCGCGGCAAAGCCCTTGATGAAGCACCGGTAATACGATGCCAGTCCCAAGAAGGCTCGAACCTGCATCAGTGACGTGGGAACCGGAGCTTCCTTCACTGCCGCAACTTTTCTCGAATCTGGCCGCAATCCTCCACGTGTCACGACATAACCCAAGAACGAAATTTCCGAGAGGAAAAATTCGCTCTTCTCAAGCACAATCTTGAACCCAGCGTCTCTCAATGCACCCAATGTCCATTCGATGTGTTGCGCATGCCCGTGATAGGTTTCCGAATAGACCAGGATGTCGTCCATGTACACGATCACGCAGAAGTTAATCATTTTTTGCATCAGCCGTATCTTGCTGACAAAGTTCTGGAACGTCATGTTCATCGCTAGCTGAAACGTGGCAGGCGCATTGCAAATCCCCATTGGACACCGAACCCACTGCCACGTGCCCTCAAAGAACACATAGGCTGTCTCCGACCGATCTTCTTCTCTTACTAGAATATGATGGAAGCCATGCCGAATATCAAACTTGCTGAAATATTTAGCGCATCCAATCGCATCCAACAGATCATCAATCCGGGGGAGGGGATACACATCTTTGATCGTGATTTCATTCAGCTTGCGAGAATCAATGCAAATGCGAATTGCTCCGTTCTTCTTTGGTAGTAATACTACGGGAAAGGACCAAGGTCAAGTAGCGGGTTCAATCCAACCACTGGCTTCGAACTCCAAAATTCGTTTGAGAGCCTTTTTGCGTTCAATCAAGGAATAGCGATAAGGTTTGCAATGAATCGGGGAGTGAGTTCCTGTCTGAATTTCGTGTTGGATTACTAACGACAACCCAATGTCAGTGTCTGACACACTAATCGCTTCTTGATATTCCGTTAGAATATCCGCAATTACCCGGTGGATTTCCTCCGGCACATATTGTGAAACGTGTAGTTCAAAGAGTTGGTCCCAGATCAGAACGTCAATCTGTTTCGTGTTCGCCTGTTTTGTCAAGTCGGGTGGAGGCGCCGAGATGAAGGAATCATCCGATCGTCAGGAGAACACCGTGACCATCATCTAAGCATCTTCTTCTCGGATTGCCACGTGTCCTTCCGGGGTAATCCCGTCACAAACATCCTGCCATGGCACTTCCTTAGTTGCGATCTTTATTCCCAGTTCGTTTGTTTCCGCTTCAAAACGCCCAGAGGGTTCCAGAGAGCTTGCTTCCGCCCCCAAGCGTAACAATCTCACTTGTTTAGCCGAGGTTAGTAAGGACTTGGGTAGATCCGTAATGTCACAGTAATGCTTCTTGTCGCTGTACCGGGCAATGAGAGGGGTGATTCCTTCGTACAGAGTTTGAGGGGGTTCCAAAGAATCGACCATCCTCGAAATCTGCACGAGGGGCTCACCCAAGATCATCGCCTTGGTCCTTTGAATTTTTCGGCTGGTTAGTTGCATCGTTCTCGCTATCGTTTTGGGTGGCGGGTAACAAACACGTTGTCGTGCTAATTTCAAGATCTCCGGATCATCCTCGTTATTGCTTTCCGCATCATCTGTTGATGACTCTTCTTCTGCGGATTTCTCCCAGGAGATCATGCGGAGAGTCCTTGCCATCATCGGCTAAACTCGTGGAACCGTGTTAATAGCAGTGTGAACGGTCAATCGCATGGGCATAGCGTAGGGTTTTCCTCCTGTATTATGAGGATGATCGATCGTCATTCGAAGTCCAAGTTTGCTCGTAATGCCACAAGAGCTGGAAGTCCGAAGAGAACGTCGTACGTATTGACATCTAGTACTACGACATCCCCAAGCGCATGCACTTTACCCAATCGGAAAGCGACATTGGTCATTCTCCCCACAGTTTTGATCTTTTCCTCATCTGCCGAAAAGAACTGATCTTTCTCAGTGAGCATGATCAGATCGTTTTTCCTACCTGCCCTTTCGACCACTCTCAGTGAAATTGCTAACACCGCTGCTCCCGAATCTATAATTGCGTTGTAAGGAATTCCCCAAATTTCTATATCGCATTCTGCAGATTTCCATGGAATTGGTTTAATCCGTAGGAAATAATCGTCTTTCTGAATTAAACCCACGCGTATCGGATCCGGAGTGCCTGTTGGGTTCTCTTTTAGCGCGGGGCCTTTGGCTTTTGCATTTCGTGTTCGGGCGAGGGCGAATCGCTTTCGGTTTGCCTTGCAATGCTCTAACATTCACTCATTGGCTTGCTCGGAGATTGAGAGTAGATGACCGATCAGAAGGGGGATCCGATGGTCCAGGGGTCGGATGATATTTAATACATCGATCTCTCCAGTGACGAAGGTGGGTCCTCTCGACTCCATTTCTCCTAGAGACGGCACTCCGCCACCTCTTTCGGTTCTGGCGCTGGTCTGATTGTTTCGATCATTACAAGTCCAGGGTATCCCCGCGATACGTACTGATCTAGCGGGATTAGCTCGGCGGCCTCTTCCGTGGTGGCCAGGGCACTTCCCCCACCCTCTACTTCTTCCATCAAAGCTCCGACTCATCCAGGTCCGTTGGCGATGGGAGCCGCATCCATAGGTGCGACCCCAATCCGCTGTTGTGGGGGTCGGTGGGGGCAATCGCGGGCTAGGTGTCCTGGCTGATAACAGGCATAACAGACATTCAGATTATTTGCTACTCCTCCGATCCCACGTGCCGGAGCTAATCCTTGCTGCATCGGAGGGGCGCGTACCGCAATGGGCCGCATGTTCCTCATCATGGCTTCCAGCCGAGCATTGTGCTCTCACTGCTCCTTTTCGCTTTCCTGTGTCAAACTAATCAAGGTTTTGGTTAGTTCGAAAATGGTCGCCGACTCGTTCGTTCGTGCGGGAGCCTCAACTGGGGGGGGGGGTAGTGCCCTGATGGGCGGGGGCATCATAGGAGCAGAGATGCTCGGAGTCTCACTTAGGATTACTCGTTTGGGGCCTATTTGTTCCATATAGGTGACAGGTCCTAATACAAACCCCATAATTTTAAATTCGTTCTGCAAGGCGGCCAGCTCTGCTCTCGCTCGTGCGAGCTCGGTCGAATCTCCGTCTCTAGGGTAGTCTTCTCCTTCCAGGAAGTTCGCCACGAACTTCCGTTCCATTTCTTCCGCAGCAGCCATAATTTGTTGTAGTGTATGAGTGATGGGGGAAAATTGCTTTCGCAACTTTGCCCTTATCGTTCGACTGCAGAGTCCATCAATGAACAAATCTCTCCCTACTTGCTCACCTTGCTCAGTTTTTACAAACATTTTGTAGAACCGGTTTCGATATTCCGCAACGGATTCGAGGGGTTTTTGCACTCGGTCCTTGGTCATGTACAGCGCTTGCTCAGGGTGGACATAATCGAATCGGTTCATGAAGTCCCATTCGAAGGTTGGGAGATCCACCCATACATAGGTACTAAACCAATGATGAGTGTCTCCTCCCATTCGAGCCAGAATGTTGATCTGTGCTTTGTTGTCAGTGTATTGTTGGGCTCTAAGTGTGGCCAGCCATGCTCCTGCGAGATGGTGTGCGAGATCAAACAAATAGAGATCAGGTGGCGTCATGGGAGCTCGTGCACGTGGGACAGGTTGATTTGGTGGGTTAGCAATTTGTTGCGGAATCGGGTTTTGCGCATTGGCAGCCATATTGGCTGCTCGTCGATTAGCCGATCTGCTTCGGGTGACGATAGGGTCGCGTCTATGAGGGTTCCGGAAGCGAGGTCGCGCACGATTAACCAGGTCCCCTAATTAACGCGCTATCAATCCTAAGACCCTGGCCACGTGTTGGGCTTCGATACCAACCTCACGCCCAGCGGGACTTCCTGATCGGAGTGGAGTGTGGGCTTGGAAGTGCGAAAAGGGGTGTGCCAAGGATTTTGGGAGGAAGTGGGGGAGCCTTAAGGATATGAATGCAATTAGGCGTATGAGGGGTGCGCGCGCAAGGGTTTCACAATCTGAAGGGGCCGGAACACTGTGGGCGACGGGTTACGGGAAAATTCCTCCGTGGTGGAGATGGTCCTGAAAAGTTAGGCCGTCGGGGGCCGCCACGTGGCGCAGGCCGCCGCGTACCTGGGTTGGGCCTTCGGAATTCCGGAGTTGCGCCGCTGGGTCGGCAGTTCACGCAAAACGTATTGGGCCAATAGGGGGCTATGGCCGGCCACGGAACGACACTGAGTTGATGATACGGGAGAAGGAGTCGGAAATGAGGGAAACTGGTGGTGATCTCAACGAATCCCGGGTGGGTGAAGTAGTAGTAGTAGGTGTGGTCGGGAGAAAGGAAATCGGAGCACGGAGGGTCGCTAGAGGTGGCATAGTGGAATTCCCGCAGACATAGCCGATTCTCCGTGTGACAGGGGTATTGTGTTCTTATGAGGGGTGAAATAGTCCGGGTCATAGGACTAGTCTGAGCCCCGAGATCGCGTCATGGTATCATCGTCAATGGGATAGCGCGGGTCGGGATATCGTCACCGCGCACGAGCACGTGTAGGACAGGCAGACTCAGTGGCGCCTCAGCGTGCTCGTACGGGATGATGGTTCCGCCGCGATTCCTTTTTGGGTGAGCGAATCGACGCACGAAAATGCGTGTAAGGGCACGACTCGGATCGCGTTTACACGTGTTCTCACGTGGCATTCGCGGGACCAGACTTCGGATCGTCGATTATGCAAGATGCAATCATATCGCAACCCCCATTGCGGGATAAGCAAAAACGAGAACAAAATCACTATCGGGCCAGATTCTTATCCCATCTACAGCGACATCAGGTGCAGGTAAAGATTCGACACAGACATAACGCAAGGACAGGGATTCTCAGCAAAAAGATAGACAAGCAGTCATAACATCCATACATTCATACATTCATACATTCGACAATCATACTCATAATGCAAGCAGGCCGGACATCGCAAGGACAAATGTGAGCAAAAACCCAAGCCCAGATTTCAGAAAGCCGAAACAAAAATAAGAACGGGCAAACCGCCCGGAGCCGCAATCAAAATGTATGTACATAGATGAGGAGGGGGAAGAGACAAGAAAACAGCAAATTCGCGTCCATCGACCTCAACTCTCTCTCCTCTCTCTCTTTCTCTCCGATGCAGACAGTCCGTCGTCACGCACCAACCCACGAAGTTGTCACCCCGCTTAGTCCTCCCGCACCCGTCGGATTCGCCTGTGCCCACAGTCCGTCGTGGCCCATGTCAATCCGACGCGTTCGGCACCAGCCCGTCGGGTCGCCCAACTCCTACTCTACTCACCTCTTGCCTTGCTCGTGTGCCGACCCTTCCTGATCGCGCAACCCCGAGCTTCCAACAACGGGTTAAGAGAGCTGACTAATCGCGCAGCCGAAATTTATAGCGTGCATGCATGCGCGAAGAACACGGAATTACTAGGACTTAGAGTGCGGATTAGAGAGGGAGCGCCTGCGTTCTGCATGATCGGCCGCGGCGTGGAGGACGTAACCCTTTTCCACGCATCGATCCGAGCATGCAAACCGCGGCTTACAAAATTTCAGCAAAAGAAAGAGAGGGAGGGCGGGAGAGAC